CCACCCCTCCTCCCTTACCCCTTTGCTCCCGCCACCCCTCCAATATCAACCCCCCCCCCCCAAAAGGCGCGCCAGCAAGCTAATGGCTCAACCCACTTTGACAGCATGTTGTTCATCGCCGGCATGGCCACGCCCTCCCCGATGCCCATCAGGCACCGCGCCACCAGCAGCGCCGGCAGCCCCAAGGACGCGGCGACAGGCGTCAGCGCCGTCGCCAGGCTCCACCACAAGACGCCGATGCCCAGCACCAGCTTACCGCCAAACCTGTCCGCCCATATGCCGCCCAGCACCTGCGTCAGCAGGTAGCCCCTGCAAAAGGCAGCGAGGGGGCGGAGAGCGGTGAGTCTTGTGTATTTGATTTTCTGTCTCGGAGCCCGGTAAACTGCAAGCTGTCAACTTGCAGGTCAGCCAGCACTGAAGCAAACGCGTAGCAAAACCCATTGAGGGTATCGTAAACAAAAAATGGATACAAAACTTCAAAGTTGAGGGCAATCCCGCCCTTACCAGAAGAATGACGACTGCACCAGCCCCACGGTCTTGCTGCTCCACTCGTACTGCTGCGACATTGGCAGGATGGCCACGCTCATGTTGACGCGGTCCCTGCGGGGACGCGCCAGGATTATTGCAAGGGGTAAGAGGGGTGTGGGAGTGGCCGCGGGCGGGACGCTCAAAGGCGCGAGGGGGTGCGACTACACGCACGCCTCGCCTATCGACGCAGCCCAACCCTGCGATGGCTCTTTGCATGCTCGTTGGCCGCGCCTCGCGTCCGGAGAGCACCCACATGTTGCACAGCATGAAAGCGACGAAGCAGAGCAGCACGACAGTCCAGCGGCGCCGCCAGCCGGTGATGCCCTCCACGAAACCCGACCGGTCCAGCGCGTCGTCGTCCCCGGCGTTGGCAGCAAACGTCGCGCGCGCGACGGCGTCCTCGCCGCGCCGCCGCCGCCGCCGTGGCTGCTGTTGCTGCCCTGTTAGATGGGCGCTGTGCTGCTGCTGGGAGGCTGATGCTGCTGGCGGAAGCGCGGCGGGGGCGTGGCTGCGGGAGTGGATGGGGGAGCTGGGCGTGACCCAGGTGCCGCCGCCACAGGTGCTGCTACACCCATTAACAGGCCTGCTGCTGCTGGTGCCAAAGCTGGTGCTGGCACTCATGGGACTGCTGCTATTGCTGCTGCTGCTTCTGCTGCTGCTGCTGCCATGCTGTTGCCACACTCGACAGACTGCCACAGGTGCCGGCCGCTGCACGCCACCAATAGCAGCCGCCGACGGGGCCAGCGATGAAACAGTCTGCATACCGCATGCGGGGGATGGGGAGGCAGACGAGAGAAACATAGGGTTCCAGCTGCATTTTTTGGACTCGCAACCGCGCATCCCTTCCCTGTGTGCATGTTTGTCAATGGGACATGCACATCACCAGCGGCGCCACACACGCCGCGTGCGCACCGTGCGACGCATGCAGGTCAAGCCACGGTGGATGCCAATGGGGCGCATGGCTCCACACTTAAGGCGCTCTTCACATCTGTGCAGCGATATAAATCAGAAAATGGGCGTGAGGAGGGCGCGAGTGGGCCGGAGATCAGGTTCTCTATCTCGTCGCGTGTCCTTGTGCTTTCTACATATTGATGGTAAAATATACAGCCTTTTCCCGCTATATTGCGGCGTGCGCAAGGCAATGGAGGCCGCTCACCTAGGGAGAGCCGCGCCCGTCCTGGGGCGGCCTCCCACAAATGACATGATTCGGTTAGTCGTACTATAGCTGAAAGTTCTTTGGACTGAAAGCTAGGGTCGTGCGGCTCGCGTTGCCGATCCACAGGCTCGTGAGCAGGAGCACTCAAGGATTCTGCTTCGAAAAGGGGCGTCGCTGTCTAGCAAGGAGCGGCCACGATGCTTTGAATACGAATTGAATGCTCGTTGGCTGCCGCTGCAGACGTTTGCATTGATTCCCGCTCTTGGCTCCACTCGCCACTTTGTGCCTGGTCACCACCCGTGGACGCAACGCGCCGCTGCACTTGAATCAGGGATCAGATGCATGCTGATGGCATATGTATCAAATGCTCTGCTTCTCACATGCAATCAATTGCTGTCTGCTTCTGTGGACATGCATGGCTGCGGCACACCTGGGTTGAGTGTGGCTGTCGATCCTGCGCGTGTGTCCATTGCTGTGATCAGATGGGCAAGCCTGTATTGATAGACCCAGAGCCAAAGCCGGCCGCTCACAATGCAACAATATGGCGCTGTCTGCGCACTGATGGCTCAGTGCATGAAAACCTGACCGGAGCGCAGCTCAACAGCTAGTTCCTGAGGTTGTTAGCCTCTGCCTGCCCCTTGGAAATGAGGAATATCTGGATTTTCGGCTAGCACGGCCTCAATGTCGTAGAACTGCTCAAACCGCCTCCCAGCAAACAGGTACAGTACACTGCAAGTGGCCGTTGTCGGCTAGAGGTGGTGTGATTTGCTGTCGTGCAGGATGTACTGCTGAGTTGAGCTCTGCCATGCCCCGGCGGCACTGTGAGGCTCCGGTTTGCTGCAGGCTAGATGATCTGCATGCATTCCTGCTCAAGTGAGCGCCTAAATTGAAACTTGCATGTGGCTGAACAAGCAGCCCACATTACTTGCAAGGTGCCTCACAGTCTGGTTAATATGCTGTGAATACGCAGATGCCGCGCTGATGGGTGTGGTGTGAAAGCAGCACACATGAACTGAGAACCAACTTGAAGCTTAGCTAACCGGCACATCTTCTGGCATGCCATCATCCTAACAGACACGCACTTAGTGTCACTACGCACGTGTTGTCGACCCAGCTGCGTGCATCTGGCCCGACGAGGTTCACGCTTATTCGAGTGCACCTGCTGTTTTCACTCGGGCTGCCTGATAGATGTTTGACTGAACACGCACAGGGAACACACCGTTCTGTTGCTGTGATGTACGGTTACTATGATGAGTATACGGTAGTGGAGGGTGGATTACCATACCTGGTGAGAGGTCCCGGGAAAGCCCTTGTTTGTGAGCATGCACCAGTCGCTGGTTGCGACCACTGGTCATTCGCTCATTCGCGGGTCAGGTGGGCCAACTTCGCACGATAATATGCTAATACAACCACATCGATTGATTCCTTGGCACACCGCGCTGAGTGACCTCGCTTCAGCACGCTTCATAAAACGTCGTGCTTGTTGACCGCCAGCTTCATCATCCACGTTTTTTGCTGTAAATTAGGCCAAGCGCTGTTTTAATGCAAAGCTATTGTGAATCCAAACCATGGGAAAAGGTGCCGGCTGTGCTCAGTCAGCCCCACGGACTGCGCAGATCACCCCCAGCGAGGCACAGGCAGCCCCAGCACCTAAGGCCGGCCCCGTCGAGACCGTACAAACCAACGGCAAGGTGTGCAACTGTCCCTGCGCAATGCAGCGCTGCCGCGCCAGCGTCACTGACCGCCTGCCGGTGGGGGCGACGCCCATCATGGGCCTCGGTGTTGTTGGCAGGCTGCCGGTGGGTCGTCTGGGTCCCCACAGCCTCATCTAGGACTGCTGATCCCCCCTTGATCCCTGCCCTCTACGCCGATCGCACGCGGCGCTGAACATCTGCAGATGGCCACCAAGAAGGTGGGTGCCTGAAGATACCTTTGTACTGCTCCAGCTGCTGTCCGCCATTTCTCGGCTCTGAGGGTGCCATGTGCGAGCCTGCCATAACAGGAAGCTGCTCTGGGCTGGGGTATCTATGGCTTGGTACCAACACTGTGCACGCCGCTGTCCCCACCCCGCCCGCCGCAGGTGTACATCATTTTCTACTCCACCTATGGGGTGAGGCCGCGTCCCATGATACGCACGGTCAACTTGACGCCTTGAAATGAGCTTGGATGTCGCAGGTTTGAACGAGTGCTGGCCGTGGCCCTTCAAAGCACATACAAAGCGCGCGCCGCCCTTCGCACACCCTGCACCCCGCAGCACATCACTGCCCTGGCCAGGGCGCTGAAGGGTGAGTCAGGCCCCCCCCGCAACCAGCGGCGGCTGCAGAAACATCCTTCCCACACACACCTGTGCATGCCCGCCTGTACCCGCCCCCCCTCGCGCCCGGGCCTTCGCACAGTGGCCCTGCCAGCCAACATTACGCCCTGCCGCACGCGCTGCTCACGGCCCCAACGCCCTCACAATTTCATTCTCACGCCCCCACCACTTCAGAGGGCGTCGACAGCGTTGAGGGCGTCGAGGGTGTCCTGTTCCAGGTGCGGGGGGCAGCAGGCAAACGCCAGGACGGACGCGCGGCGTGCGGCGCGCAGCGCACGCATTGCATCTGTCACCTCAAACCCCGCGCCCTCGTCCCACCCTGCGCCGATGCGGGGAGCCGTCCCAATCAGCGCGGCACAGGTCCCCAGGTATATGGTGCAAACACGGAGTCACCGCTTGGCCCCAGCTTTGCCGTCTTGTAACCTCGCTGACCGGGGCTCGCCATGCTCTCCCCCCCCCCCCCAAAAAAAACCCAAATAATCCCAGGTTGCTGAGACGCTGCCGGCCGAGGTGCTGACCAAGATGTATGCAGCCCCGAAGCCGGAAGACATCCCCGTCGTCAACCCCAAGACCATCGACGAGGCCGACGGCTTCGCCTTCGGCTTCCCCACCCGCTTCGGATCCATGCCTGCGCAGATGCAGGTGGGGCCCCACGGCGCAGGCGTGCTTGTGAGAAAAGTGCAAGTTTGGCAGATGGATGCGGGCAATACGCAGTAGTTGCGGCTGCATGATCCGTCAGCAGGGTTCATCACGGGGTCAGCAGAGCGCGCGTCAACAGATCCAAAACATGCATGGTAATTGGGCTTCACCTGACTGGATGCTTCCAGTGCACGAAAATTCTTGTTTGACTTGCATGGCATTTGCAGGCCTGCCCATATACCGGCCTTCCAACTCGTTTGCCCCAGGCCTTCTTTGACGCGACCGGCGGGCACTGGCAGAAGGGCTCCCTGGCCGGCAAGGTGAGGAGCTGCTCCTGCTGAGCCGCTGCTCTCTATGAATACGGGTGTGCGTGCCCCCTCAATTTCTGAGGGTGGTAGCCGCACAACGCTGGCAGCTCGCGGAGTGTGCAGCACGCGCCACATGCACACCTGCCATGCACACCCACTGGTTGCTGCACACACGAACCCCCCTTTTTCGCTCTCCTCTTCGCAGCCCGCCGGCATGTTCACCAGCACAGCCACCCAGGCCGGCGGTGAGGAGACGACCATCATGACGTCAGTGACGCACCTGGTGCACCACGGCATGATCTTCGTGGCGCCGGGGTACACCTTTGGCGAGGGCATGCACGAGCTCGCTGTGCCCAAGGTGCGGCCAGTGCTGAGTGGCTGTTGAAGCAGCTGTGCAGGGCAGCGTCGTACGTGTCATGCAATTCGCAGCAGCTGGGGCAGCAGCCACTGCAGAAGCTGGGGCAGCAGCTGTGGCACCAATCCTGTTCCTGCAGTTCTTGGTAGCCGTGAAACCGCCAGGCGCGGACAAGAGCATCGCATGCCGCCCCTCCCATCCCACCCCTCACCCGCGCCAGGGCGGCAGCGCTTGGGGTGCCAGCACCCTGGCGGGCCCCGACGGCTCCCGCAAGCCGTCGGAGCTCGAGCTGGCATACGCGAAGCACCAGGTTGGCCCTTACAGCCGTACTGTCCACTGGCGCCCGCAATCTGTGCATGTCTGTGCACGTGCTCGTATTGGGGCACACTTGCTGGCACATGCTGCTGCTTGCCCGTGGAACGAGGGCTTCACATGCGTGCCCGGGCCCAGCTGGCTGCGCCACATTTGTGCATCACTGAACGTATGGAGGGTCTTGCCATCTGACCGACCCAACTCGCTGTGTGGAACCCTTCCACCTGACGCAGGGCAAGCACCTGGCTGAGATCACCAAGAAGCTCGCGGCATGAACGCCACCTGCAACGCAAACACACTTCTTCCCAACGCACGCCCTGTCCAGCTGCCGCGACCACCCCCTTACATCTCCATCCAATTACTCGCCTTGCACTGTGTGGTATTGATGTCACAGCACCTGCACCCTTGGCATGGACTGTGTGAGCTTCGCGGCACCTTTCTGCACTTATGATCTGGCTCAATCGCTCTGGTCCGCAAAGACATTTTTTTCCGCAAGTACCAGCCACTTGCATCCAGGCCAAGGAAGCAGCGCAAGCTTTACATGCGCAGGGCGCGTGGTGTTTGCCGACAGACCCTTGGTGTAAACACATGGACCAAGGCAGAGCAGTGCCAGCAGTTGTGGGGGTGCGGAACGACAGACCAGGACGCCAAACAAAAGCCAATGTCAGTCAGGAAGTCAGCAATAGTCAGCTGGTTGCTTACGGCAAAGAACGTCGACGACAATGGGCGAGGGTGTTGCCTTCGGGAGTGCCGTGCCCAGGCTGCGGCAAGTGAGTCATGCGGATGCAACTGAATGAGCCTGACACCAGCTAGCCAGCCAGCATACCGTGCAGCCGCACTCCATGGCAGCGCAGGGTTGGGGGCGTGCGCACACTGGCAAGGCTTTGCGAACATCAGGTGTTTGCCACGATGCGCAGGCCGTCCTGCAGCGCCTTTGTGTAGTCGTTGACGGCCATGATGATCTGGAAAGATGAGCCGTGAGCATGAGCGGGGCGCACGGTCAGATGCGGACAGCCTCAACATGATTAGGAGACAAACCCTTTCTTGATTGCCAGACATGCACACACCCGTGCCTTGCGGCCATCACCCATGTTGCGCAGAGCCCTACACCGCATGCGCACACGTGCATATGCTCCTGTCACATGCATCACAGGCACACACACTCAGCACGGTTTCACCAGGCAACCCTCAGGATCTCTAGACGTGAGTGCCTAACCCAACCCTCTGCCCACATGCGCCATGCGCACCTCATCGTCCTCAGCCACGCGCTCCTCGCGCTCAGACGCCATTGCCCCCTTCAGGGACGCCAGCTCCTCCAGCACCACCGCCTGGGAAGCGCGGTCAGAGTGCGCCTCGACCGCTCAGCCGACCGGCATCCGGCGCTCACTCATCTGCTCTTGTCCTCGACCCACCTCACCCTTTGCAAAACAGCATTGTGCTGCCAAACAATGCAATCACAACTGACACTGCCCAAAAGCACCCCCCAAACTCATACGCAAGAGATGTGCCCACCTGGAACTTCTCATCTGTGACGTTGCGGTTCCCGAGAACCTCGTGGATCTCAGATCTGAGCTGCCCAAGCTCCGACTCGCGCGTGCCCTTCTCCGCCTCGAGCCGCTCCTGCAGCCGCAGCAGGTCGGCACCCACCTGCCGCACCGTCTTGGTCTCAGCCTCGACGCGAGACACGCGCTCTGATGGGTAGCAGTCATGTGTGTGGGCGCGTGCGCGTTCGCAAACGCGCGTGTGATGCTGGTTACTTTCTGATCGAGTGCTGCGCACAAGTAGCAAGACTTCTGTGCATTGCAGCCCACACTCAAGACAAAATGCCGAGCATCCTATGCGCTTCAACCTCCCCTGCTCAACCCGACCCAGACCTTCGACTCCAGCTGATCGTGCCTGCACTCCAGCTCACTTTAAACTGACACCCAGGCCCCCCCACCACTGCCAATTGCCACCCCGCCCCTCAATGCTGAACCTTCGTGCCGCCCACCCTGCCATGCAGGACCGCTTACCCTCGTCCAGTGCCCCGACGCACTCGTTGACCTTGCCCACCAGCGTCGCCGCCAGGTGCTCAATGTCCTGCCGCCGCTGCTCCCGCTCCTCCCTGCGGGCGGGGCCAGGAGCTGTCGCGGTGCTGCTCCCACAAAATGCGCTCCCGGCTTGCCTGCACCCCTAGTTTGCCCCCGACACACCCATTGACATGCACATCCGCAAGCATCCAATCACACACATTTGCACATGCGCGTAAACACTTACAAGCAAACCACATATGCATACGCGCGCTCACGCGCGCATGCACACGCAGCCCCTTTGCATGTCTTTCTTGATGTGTCTCTGGACCTCACACATACACACACGTTTTCCCCATACAAGCACGCGCACGAGCAAACCACACACACACACACACACACACACACACACACACACACACACACACACACGTTCTCACTTGACGATGGCATGCAGGTCCTGCAGTGTGCGCGCCAGCCCCTCCACGCTGGTCCGAAAGCTGCTGGTCAGCTCCGCATAGCTGGACGCCACGCGGTCCTGGATGCTCTTGATCTCATCCTCAAAGTGTGACTGCACCAGAACGCAATCATGCATAACGTCAATTGCCAGGGCTGAGCCAGCGGTGCTGGTGCAACACCGCACGTGCATACTGCAAGCAGCTGCTGCCTCATAAGCGGCCGATCCCGCTTCCAGCTCAGTCGTGCGCCGCCCCTCTCCCTCTCTCCCCCACCTGCATCTGTCTGTCCGCCTCCGCGCGCCGCTTGACCTCCGCCTCCAAGCTCTTCTCCAGCTTCACTAGGGAATCCCCCAGGATTTGATACCGCGACGCCTCCGCAATTCGCCGTTGCTACGAGGTACAGAGCAGCGCGCAGCGTTCGCGGCGGAGCAGCGGCGGGCTGTGCCAGGGCAGGTATAGAAGGGGGTGCGGCAGGCGCAAGGCAGGCGGCCGCCAGTGCCGCAGAAGTGCAGCACAGTGCGCTGACCCACGCGCGGGCAGCCACCTGTTTTTCTTGCTCCAGATCGCTGTAGAACGCCGAGAACCGCTCTGCGACATGCTCCAGCTTGGCTGTGGGGCCTGCACCCGTGTGGTGCATTGCCAAAAGCAAACGAGTTGCTGGTCGTCAGCTCGCATGTTGCTGCCGACACCTTGACAATGTTCACATGGTGCACATGTGTCTGCCCGGCAACTGCTGCTTGCCTATCATTTCAACTGTGTGTTTCGGCGTGATAAAGGTGTGTTGGGAGAGCAGCACGCTGCCCGCTGCAGCGCCAGCGGAGGGCGCACCTGATGACTTGAAGAGCGACGCCGATGCGGACGACGTCCGCAGCGGCGAGCTCCCATACATCCTCGCTGTTGGAGAATCCAGCTTCCCAGGTAGGGATGCGACTGCAGGCGAGGTTGTGTTGGGTGCACTGGGTCAGCAGGCCCATCGCAGCAGCAATCGCCCCGCCCCTTCTTGAGCTGAGGGCCCACCAAGGCGGTCTGGAGATGTCTGCATGTCCCTAAAATACGCCAGTGCAGCGTCCTTCAAGCAGTGCAGCTTTTTTAAACAGCGAGATGGATGCTGGTCAATAAGAGAACTAAATCGCGGGAGATGCTATAAAAGGAGGTGAAGACGTCTGATCCTTCCTTTCATATACCGCACACCGAACGAGTTTGCCGTCCCGGGCAAAGACCTCCAGTGCCTCGCTAGGAATTCCTTGTGGGCCTTTTGCGACGGTGTTTCTTCGCGCATGCCGAGACGTTCCCCGCTTTATCTTTTGTCAAACCGCGTCGCTTTCCTGCGTTAGCAAGCGCTCCGCGAGATCATACACTGCTTGGCATAGCACCGCAGCACAGCGCCAGCAGCAGCGGCCGGCCCATCCTGAGGGTGGCACATAAAATCTCGTTCGTCAAAGGGCGACCACGCTCACGATCCGCAGACGCTTCCTGTCAGGCGATCGCCCCTCGACGTAGCACGCCCAGCTCACCGTACATCGGTCGCCCCAGCGCAGCCCCCCGCCATCCCCGAATTGCCTCGGCACGCCCTATGTCTGCCACAGCTGCCGCCGCCGCTTTCGCCATGGACGCCGCCACCATCGAGGCGGCCTCCGCCAAGCACCCCAAGCAGGCGACGTTCCGCCCCTCCTATGGTACCGCCGGCTTCCGCTGCGAGGCGTCCCTGCTCGACTCGACCGTCTTCCGCTGCGGCCTGCTGATCGCTGCGCGCGCGCTCGCGACGGGCGCCGCGTGCGGCGTCATGATCACCGCGTCCCACAATGTCGACAGCGACAATGGCGTGAAGCTGGTGGACCCCTCTGGCGAAATGCTCGAGCCCGCCTGGGAGGACCTCGCCACCCGCCTGGCCCAGGCGGCCACCGACTCGGAAGTCGCATCCGAGCTCTCCGCGATCCTCGCCGCGCACCCCCCCGCCCCCGAGGCCGCCGCCGCCCCCGCCGCCGCGCCCGGCGCCAAGGGCGGCCCGCGCGTCATCGTCGGGCGCGACACGAGGGACAGCGGCCCGCGGCTGACGGCCGCGTGCGCGGCGGG